GCTCGGAGTGTGAGTGGCTTTCTTCTGTACTGGTTTGGCAGTATGAGGGTTGCTGGACTCTCTTCTTTTGGGGCAGTCTCGTCGAAAGTGTCCTTCACCACCACAACCCTAGCATCGCAACCTCCTTCCTTTCCCCTGCCTTCCAACCAGTTGCTGATTGCTGTCGTCCACTCTCCCCTCCACCAACTGGTAAGTTTCCTAGACCTACGCTCTCTTCCGCCTCTCGTGAATGAGAGCCTGTTGAACGTAACTCAGCGACACTCGTCCACGCGTGCCTCAAGGGCTGTCACCAGAGTGGAGTAACTGTGTGGAACACTCCCAGCAGTGTTACGACTTGGTCTTCCTCAGAGATCGGGGCAACGATCGCCGCAGCAAGTTTATCGGCTAAGCTCTTTCATACTCTTCAAATGAGCTTCCACGGACGTGCCCTCTGTCATCTCCATACGGAGTACTGTTTCTTCAGCATGAGTTTGTTCGCCAGCGTGTCTCGCTCGAAATGATTGCGAAGGGCATCCCAGGCGTCCTTTGGCTGCTCAACGAGGTGATGAGGTACAGCTGAGAGGAGCGAATCGCCATAACGATCGTGGAGAACGCCTTTTGTGACTTCTTTTGAAATCCGGCTCGTACCAGGGCCGTTGCGTCTTCTCGAGAGCTTCCGTACCATCCGCATACCCCCACAGTCCCTTCGCTACACAAGCAGATGCGCATCTGGAACTTCCATGTGGTCCAGTTCGAATCGTCCAGCTTATCTATTGAACCATTTTTCATCGTGCGTTGCCCGCCATCCTTCGGCTGCGCACGGTGGCTCCGAAACCATCCTCTGCTACCATACTATTAGCAGATGCGCGGGCTGAACCAGACTCGAACTGAATATACCATTGTGGACAGCAGTAAATCGGTAAAATGATATATGATCAAAGGCTTATATAGTAAACTACAGACGTTCTAGAATGTTCTAGCAAAGACTATTGTAGTGTGCACTGATTGGGATGTTCTGAGGTTCTAAGGTGTATCTTCAACCTGAAAATACATTGTTTTCAACAGGGTGTGGTCGAGAGACTCATACAGCATGAGGCGCAGCTGAGTGCTGTATGGGTCTGAGACACAACCCGAGTTCCCATAAGTCATGTGTGATAGAACGATAGACGCACATTATGTGTTTATTGTGACTTCGTAGCAGTCGTCGACCTCTATGCGAGAGAAATACGACTGCGTAGCCGTACTACCCGTGCGCACTCAATGGCTCTCGATGCGAAGTTCTCTGTTCTTGAGCAGATCGTAATCGATGGTGGCTCTTCTCCCTCAGAGAAACTCTTTTCATGAGTCGCTGGGCCATTTGACCGGTCGGTGTGCCGCCTCTATAGACTCTACAGAACTGTCATCCCTCGCCTCTAAAGCCTCTACAGAACAGTTTTTGACTACACTATGGGTTCGATGCTGCTCCTAGTTCAATAATTCTTTTATTGAACGTTCAATATTGGTCATATTGAACGCGTCTACAATACGGGAAATAAAAGTATGCGCGGCAGCTTTGATCCGCCCACTCAAGTCACAATAAAGTATGTGACGGCCACACGAAAAGCCATACAAAAGCAGAAATAAACCCCACATTAGTTTTCCTCCCATAGAGAATGTATGGAGGAAGAATATTGGTAGTACTTAGTATACAGGGATGACATCCTAGAGTCCGGCACTGTATGTTGTATGGTGCCCATATTTATCCCAATCAGTCCAAAACAAGTATTCACGGAAGTATACCACAAGTACCGTTCACAATACATTGCAGCGACTTATGCTCCTTTTTAGCGTACACCATCACATAATATGCCTTGGATTACTGTGCTGCTGCGTTATTTGCAGGTCATCACACCTCAAGTGATTCTGCTGTTATTCCAGTTCACCCTGACTTCAGAATGATAGCACTGGCCAACAGACCAGGCTTTCCTTTCCTTGGAAACGACTTCTATGCTGCTCTAGGTATACACTGTTTGTATGTACTTTCTCAATATTCTGCCAATGTGCTGCTATAAATCTATCAGCACATTTGTAGGCGATATGTTCAGCTGTCATGCTGTTGATAACCCTGACCTGGAGTCCGAACTTGTAAGTGTGTGATGTACTGTGTTTTTACGTCATAGCATGAGTTTAAAACTGGGATAAGGATATAGTCCCATATTTTCTTATGAGACCCAACCGTAAGGTAATAGGGCCGAGCCCAAATAATGCCAGAGGGGGTCTGGCGATGCTTCCGCCCGATTTCCGCTTGGGTATATGTACTTTGTTGACAGCAGCTCATGACTCACAGTCTCCGAGATAGTTGTTAAAGTAGTGGCACAGGATTATTGTTGAAGTGGAGCCAGTGACTTCAGTAAATTCAGGGAAGGGTGACCTTTAGGGGATGACTGGTGATACAAGAGCGACCGCTGTTATGAACATGTTTGTTACGTATGGGAGGCTAGCAGCCAAAGGCTTTGTTATTAGGAGATGTTGTCAGTAGTGCCGCTGCCGTGCCTCCAGAGAGGAGCCTTAGTGGGAAAGAGAGGTTCATAAATGAAATGGAGGGTTTCCATAAGATAATTGGGATGAGTGTGTGTAGGGTCTTTAATTTTACAGGCAATGTTGAGGCAGTATGGGGAGAGATGTTCCGGAGCACCTGCTTGAGAAACTGGTTGGAGCGTTCTCTGAGCTGAGAGCCATGGCAGATGAGGGCCTTATTGCGTACCCTACTCCACCCGGGAAGTCGTGGCTATCGTCAAACACCTCCAGTACTATAATTATGGCAACTGACTCTGCCCATGTTAGTTCAACTGTGTGTACACACCCCATATTAGTAGTTATTTGCAGGTTTTTAAGACCAAACTATGCAGTGCATTATACGGTTTAGTCTTTAGTGCGGAGGGACAGAATGATAACAATCGAGATTACATACGCACGAGCGATTACACTTAATTGAAAATACTTCTAATAGGGTGATGATCGGCTTTTTTTACATTTAGGAGTTTCCACATGAGGGAGTGTCAAGTGTTGCACGGAACGTGTTTGATTTTGACACCCACAACCCGGACCTGCTTCAGGTGATCATGAGAGTTCTCCACAGGCATGGGATCCCGGCTGGGGCCTCCTCCAGCAGTGTTCGACTCTCCCGCAGTAAGGTCCACTGGGAACACTTGGCTGCTAGCTGCAGAGTCTATGTGCACAGTCTATGTATATGTTTGTATGTATGATGCATATTTCAAAAAAAATACTTGGACAACAACTTTGTCGTGTGTTGATTTTCATGACGTACTGATTTCCAGATATCCGTTACCGCTCTCCAGCAAATTGGCCAGTGGATTGTAAAAACTGATAATGCTATGACTCTTGATTGTCATCACTTACCTGTTGCCTTGAAGGTGTGTGTGTAAAGTGTGTGTTTTGTCCCTTTGTATTACCAACGATGAGATACTACAAGTTTGTTGTCAGGGACCATCAAGAGGCACTCCAACAGAATTGGATCTGGAGAAGGTCAATGTGAGAGGAAGGGAGTTCTCAGAATTGCTTTCTCACTGGAGAGTACCTTGGATACAGGCAATTTCATAGCATCCACCTCCATTGGACCTGGTACGTGCACGTGTAGGCTATTAAAGAGGCCTAAATTTTGAGATGGAACAAACAATAGAGGCACAAATGAATTAGGTTCTGTTTTTGGTAACATTTCAGCCCTTATGTATCTCCACATTCCCTTTAAGAAGTATGAGGATCACATAAAATGATGTGTTGAAGAGCTACGTAACTGCACATACCCCCAGGGCATTCAGCTGATTCATCAAAGGTTCTGCACGCAGCACTGGCCAATCCTGTGTCAGTGTTGTCGATGCCTGTGTCTGTTAGTGAGAGCAAAGGCTATTGGCTGGATCTCTCCTCTCTGTTCCCCATTGCTACTGGCATGTGGACTCCTCATCTAAACATGGCACCACTGTCCCATGGGAGAATACTCCTTCATGAAGGACTGGCAAGTTTCCTTTTCAAAGCATGGCATTTCGCTATGCTGATACTGTGTACACAGAGCAACAGTATGCTTACGGTGGATGCCTTTGAGGGTTGTGTGTATCGTGTAACAACTGATTCCATTACGAGAAGTGTGAAGGACATGTTGGGATGGAGACAGAGCTCCAGCCACCAGGTACAGTTAACAGTATCATCATCCTTGTTACTCATGGCTCTGTGACAGGGTGAGAGTGTCCTGTGTAACAGTACAGATAGAACTGTGCATTTGTTCCGGAGGGGAGGGTGAGTGGTCATAATCTACAATTCTTCCTACCTCTCTATCTGGTGACGACAATGAATACAGAACTACTCTGGAATCGTACAACTTGACTGGTGAAGTGTCCAGTGGAACTGTAGTTCACTTACCGTTCTCACTTGGTGGAGTGCATGTGATGTCTGAGAACCAGAGGCTCCTGACAGAGTGTGACTCTCCAAGGTACCATTAGTGTACTCGGTTTGGACATGAAAGTGTTCACAATATTTCACACTTCTTTAATATATAGGTGGTATATTCTGAATTCCTCTGGAAATAACCAAACAACTCTGTATGAAGGTGTCACAACGGGAGATTTGATACCCTGTGAGAATACGTACTGTGTTTGAGCTACAGCTATCTTCTTCTTTTAATTAAGCTCAAGTCACTGCTCTTGGTGAGAGTCACACAGATTCTGCTGCAGGAAGACATGTATTTGTAGCTAATACTACTGTAGGGTTCCTGGACACACTACGACACAATGTATGTAGCTTTTCACAGCATTTCTACTTCTGTATTTACACTCTTTATTCTCTTCCAAAAGGATAGGATAGATATGAATATACATGGCGTTCCCCTGGCGGAATCAATGGACGGTGTTGTTTTTCAGAATGGCTCAAAGCCAGTAATCTTCTCTGAGTCTGGCGATATTGCTCTGCCAACAGTGAGAGAGAGTGAACCAGCTGTAGGACTGGTGGACTTAGCCCATCAGACTGTCCGGGAGATAGTGTTACCGCCGTAAGTGTATTAACTGTCAGCTTGCATGTGCAGTGAGGCACAACGAAGGGTGTGTATCCACTCCTGCATGCTATCTACTGATGTAGCTAGCCCGTGTCAGACTCTCCACGAGCTACCATCGGGAGACCAGGAGTAAACGAATAACCCAGCCCATCAATTAGTAGTACCACAGATGCGCAGTTCGCTGAGGGTTTGCACTTTAGTGCTTTTTCATTTATGTCCAGCAAGGAGTCTATTCTCCTTGCATAGGTCTGATGCTGGTGCTGCTACTAGTTCATCATACTCACAGCTCCACCTGAATGTGGTCAGTGATAGTCAGCTGGCTGCTGTGGACCAACGAGGAACTGTGAGAATATTGGAGACTGGGCGTTCTTCCCTTGAAAGGTATGGGGTGTGAGCTTGTGTTGTACTAAGACTAACTGTACGGTGTACGTAGGTCACTAATGGAGTGGCAGGCTCTGGTAGGACAAGAACCAGAAGGACCTCTTCGCATGGAATACGAACGGAAAAGTGGCCAAGATGTGTCTAGCCCCAAACATGGAAAAGTGAGTCCTGTCAGGTTTGAAGCTAGATCTAGCGTGCACTATATAGTACTTTTAAGTCTGAAGGAAGGATGACTGTTCTAGGTTGATCAAGACAACACACCTCATGTTGGTGGGAACACATGGGCGGGAGGCACTGGAGGAAGAGACACAGCTGGACTGGGAGGCAAGGGAGGCCCTTACCGACTTGATGCTGGTCACGACATTCACCAGATCCCCGACTGGGAGAAGGAGGCTGTGCCTGAAGAGGTAGGCTGTGTAGTGTAGGCCACCACTTGGGCTAAATTATGCTGTAAACACTTAGGTAAAAAGAGCTGCACGTGAAATGGGACAGAAAGCCAAGAGAGAGAAGTAAGAACTCTCAGTGTGTGTAATGAATTCCTGTAACATTCTTTACTACTTTGAGGTTGAGAGAAATTGGGATGAGCGAACATGATAATGAGATGTATCAGACAATGCTGCGGAAAGTTCAAAGACAGATTCAAACACTCCGTGTGATGTTAGCCAACATTCAGGTAGGACATAGACCATGCGTTATTGAGTGTGACTTGTGATAATGTACGTAGTCACGCAGTTCAGAGAGAGAGTGGTTAAGGCACCAGACAACAGGAGATTTGGACGAGAGGAAGGTACACACTGTCTGGAGTAGTATAATATGTTCCTATGTGAGATTTTCTGTGTTCGTAAACTTGCAGCTTATTGAAGGGCTGGCAGGGGAGAAGGCTATATATAAGAGAAGAGGAGAAATAGAACCAGAGGTATATACATCTTTTCCACTATACTCTTAGGGAGGGAAATCCAACTCTCTAACTATAGGTGGGTGGAAGTCATGTGTATCCAAAACGTATCAGGCTGGTTGTGGACGTCAGTGGCAGCATGTATAGGTTCAACAGTTACGATGGGAGGCTGGAAAGGAGTCTGGAGGCTGTGCTAGTGGTCATGGAGGCCTTTGACAAACAACCAAACTTCAAGGTGCCTTATTATTGTGTCCATTTTACTTATATACCCTACCTTAGTGTGAACTGACTAATTGAGACCACAAGGGCTCCATTTCATCACTATGTGTTTTCTCTCTCAACCTCACAGCTGGACATAGTAGGCCATTCTGGTGATTCTATTGAAGTTCCGTTTGTGGAGTCTTCTAATCCACCTGCTAACGACAAGGAGCGGCTACAAGTGCTAAAAGTAGGTCCATTAGAAGCCTATAAGTAGATGAGAGACGTGACGTTGAGTCTGTTTCAGGCCATGATAGCGGAGTCCCAGTACTGCTGGAGTGGCGACAACACCATGGAGGCCACCAGAGCTGCCATCCAACAGATATCAAAGGAACCGGCCGACGAATACTTTGTGATTGTGTTCAGCGATGCCAACTTCTCACGCTATGGTATCAGACCTAGTCACTTTGCATCTCTGATGAACTCTGACCCCCGAGTGAATGTGTTTGCCATCTTTATTGGCTCTCTTGGAGACCAGGCCAAAAGGTCAGAAAGATAGTGCTCCTCTTGCCCTCAAAGATTTGCCATTGTAGTGCAGTCGCACACTAGTTTATATGCTTTGCTGGTGACACTGCCAGCTTACTGAGTAGCTCTATAGCAAAATAGAGCGAGCTCAGTACACATACACAGGACTCTGAATGAGTACAACAAACCACTGGCTTATAAGCATGAAAATTACGTACGTTAGATGACGTATGACCTATGACAATATAACCTGACGTGAATATAGATACATTACACAATACGACATCCATCATGTGACATAACATGGTGGTACTTACTAGCATTTCCCAGTCTAGATCAATCTCTTCCCGGTTAAGTGTGCACACCGTTGTAACCATGAGACCCCAGCTTACAGCTTTCTCCCCTTGTAAGTTTAATAATAGTTTTGCTGCATAGTTCCTATTTTACTATAACTCGTCAGCTCCTGCCTTTTTTGATCTGCAGGTTACGTGAGGCACTGCCATCAGGCAGGTCACTCATATGTATGAACAACAAAGACCTTCCTCAACAGTTGCAGCAGATATTAGCATCAACTATCAAATAGACGCTATTTTTGTCTGTGTTTATTTTAAGAGAGGCATGCACTCTGATTAGCTATTGGCAAGTGAGAGCAATCAACACATGTTCGACCTATCAGCAGGAGTCCTGGGAGCTGTACCCCACACACCTTGTCCTTGGGGGTAATGTAATGATAGAGTTGTTGAATCATTTTCTATGTCGGTGTAAGCGTCTTCTTGTTTTATTCACCTCAGTCACAGGGTTTCCATAGGTTTATTGACTTGGTCAATACACAAGTAATCATGGGAGCTGTATTCAGAAGATTGTTGTGTAGCTCACATGTGTTGTGACCCACAATACCCGGGAGCGAGCTAACCTAGTGGTACGAACGGCGCGGAATTTTCCATATAATAATGCGAGTGGAAATGTTGAACATCGTTGGCGAGCGGGAGCGACCCAACTTGGGATTTTCCCGCGATGTTCAGGCTGCATAACGTGCCGTCAGCGCATAGCTTTCCTTTCGTGAAGCAAGACAGATCTACCTGTCGTTGTAACATGCGTACTGTACATTGGCAGAACGGTGAGCAATCCTAGCGTCTCCTTCGACGTAATTTGTGATCAAGAGCAACATTCTCTCGAAGAAAAAGGCGCTTGATATGAAAATCCCTCAGCTGAATCTTACGTAAAAGAATCAGCTTACGGTCCCAGGCAATACACAGCTTGATCAAAAGTGGACAGGGTGGGGAAGAGCGAGGACTGTGACTTCTTGAGCCGACCCAGGCGAAACATATCCTTTATAATTATGAAGTTGCTTCCCTGAGAGAAACTCAAACATTTCATCCACAATTTTTTTGCCATCAACAATGGAGCCTTCATCAGGCAGACCAAACAAAATAACATTTAGCTCGCGACCATCAGATGAAGAAGATCGAGGTGTGGTGTTTTCTGTACTGAAACTGGAGAAGGTGAGGCAACCTGAGTAGGTGGTGCTGAAGAAGCTGCTGTTGCAAAACTCCGTTGCACAGACGGAAAAGAGCTGGAATCCAGGAAAGAAGAAAGCTTTTTTTCCAAATGCTCGACAACATCTGCCAGTGTACTCAAAGACTGTGAATTACGATTAGCAATTGGATCTAGCGAGAGAGGAGGTAAGCGCAGGAGGTTTGAAGCTTCACAATAGGTAGGAGGGACCTTATTTGCACAATCTAAAGCATCAAAGTACTTTAATGTATCATCCAAGTTCACTGCCAGCTGGCTTCTTTTATCCGAATCGCGACGAACATGAGATGACAGCCCAATGTGCTTCAAGATCACCTCTACAAAATTCACAGAGGTGTGATTAACAAACCTCAACCTCATTGGGAGAGAAGCGCTCTTTAACAAGCATTTTGAGAAATTCAATATCACCCTTAGAACGAAAAGCTTTGATGAAAGAAAGGACAGTATCAACTAAGAGTGGAGCACTTGAGTTGGAGCTCTCACCAGGAAGCGGAGATAAAGTAGACCCTGACATAGGCATAGAATCTTGGGGAACCATTTGATGCTGACCAGGAGGCACAACTTCATGGCCTTAGAAGCAGGTTGCGAAGAAACATGACCACTAACAGGTGTTGAACCTGACAAGTCAAAAACATGTGAACTAGCAGACAAGCCCAGCTGACCACCCTGAGAAGAGCCCTGAGCGCCAAGTGAACTAGAGAAGAGATATAGTGACAAAGGCTTTCCCAGGTGATGCAAGGACTGTCTCCATTTTCTTGCTCTTTTACCAGCTAGTGTTTCAAACCCTGGTGGTGAATACTATTATTTTGCCACTAACTACAACGCACTTTGACTGAGACTTATTAGACTCATCAAGTTTAGAGAGATAGAGATTTCCAGATAAGCTACCGCAAGTGACAGTAATGTAAGCACCCAAGGTATCATGTAAGACAGTGGGTTGGAGTTTAGAACCAGAAGGAGAGGCAGCTCTTTTCTTTTTTCCAGACATCAAGCCAAACACAAAGTAGACTATTAAAATAGACCACCCAACAACAACTCAACAACAAATGAAGATTGACTCACCAACTTCAAACCAGAGTCAACAACGGATGGGTGATGAGGATGATGTCCGGGACGAGGCTCGTGTCTGTATCGCACGCTGTAACGATGCCGTTAGCAGTCATGTAGGTTAGGAGATCGCCTGCCAGTCCTGCCAGTATTGTGGTAGAGCCGCAGCTGTGGAACGCGTATAATAGCTATAATTATATACAAGTGGAAAAATTATTTCTTCAAAATGAAGTGGGATATAGGGATGGCTTGAAGCACCAAAAAGGAAGAAACAAGGGGTCATTACACACCAAATATGCACAAAGCCACATGACACCATCCCTATATCTTTGTCTCATATTAAACTTTGCTGATGAACAATAAAACAAAGGTATAGGGATGGTGTCATGTGGCTTTGTGCATATTTGGTGTGTAATGACCCCTTGTTTCTTCCTTTTTGGTGCTTCAAGCCATTCCTATATCCCCCTTCATTTTGAAGAAATGATTTTTCCACTTGTTGATATTAGTATTCTGATTATCTTTGTGCTTACACCCATTGAGGCTAGTTTCTCCCAAAGTAGTTGGTGATTAACGAGTCTAATGCTGCTTTTGCAAAATCTACAAAAACACACAAACGGTGGCTTATTTCTCTTCTTGTGTGATTGAATTGCTGTGGTGATAACAAAGATTGCATCAGTAGTTCGTCTTCCTGGTCTAAAACCAAACATGAAATAGTCTCCAAGTTCCTCCACATGGATAGGTATATTGAGATCCTTAGACTGATTGGTAGCCCTGTCGACAAGCTTCCAGAATTCGCGAGGGTTATTTATTTAGCACTTTTTTAGCTAGTTATGTAAGATCGTTGCTTGACGTTTTTTCTTCCTGGTCAGTGATTTATATGCCCTCCTTACTTGCCAGATATGTTGATACAGCACTGTTTTCTGGATCCATCTGGAACTTTTCTTGAAACATCTCTTTGCTATCTTACACTCATCGTCGAACCATTATTTTATTACACGGAAATTTGTTTTTAGCTGAGTGACAATGCTGTTTTCTTTCTATTACTTTAATTGACTCCTGGATCAAGCGTGTGAAATTATGCACGCAATCATTAGCCAGTCGGTTCTGAAGATCGATTTCAAGAAGTTCCAGATTCCTGATGAAATTATTGTTTGCATAAACTTTTGCTTGATTTACATTCGTTACTATCCCTTATTGATGGTAGGGTTTCCTTCATTTCAGAGACAAGTAATCTAGTAGAAGTTGGGTGCAACTCCTCCCTTCCTGGGATATCTTTACATAGCTTGATAGTGAACAAGGAGCCTGCCTTTGTTGAAAGATGGAAGGTGAGTGGGCAATGATCGGAATGTGGTGCGATCTCTCCAATAGCGAACTGTTTCACGTCATTTAGGTAATTGGCCGATATTATCACATAGTCCACCACACTCTTGCCTCTAGGAGTATAACAGGTATAAGCACCTTTGTTTATGTCTGCAATTTGCAACTGGCCAGCAATGCAGAGCTGTAATAACTGTTTCCCATAATTGTTCACAACATTGTCTTCCGATTGTCTTGGGACAGGTGTGTTTACTCTATAATTAGAAGCTACTGGAATGAACCGGTCAGCATCATTTTTGAATAATAATCAGGAAGAGAACTTGTTCTAGCATTAAAATCCCCAGTTAAAATGACATTACCGAGTGTGGAGTAGATCGCTATTTCTTCTTCTAGTGTGTTCCACAAATTTTCTCTAGAAGCTGGATGGCAAGATATTTCAGGTGAAACGTACACTAGCCCTGTATACAAATCCTTCTCAAAGCCAAAATACTTGGCACTCAGTTTTATGCACATTCCGTCTTCAGACCGCTTTAGACCGGGCATCTGTTGAACACCGCTAATTTCCTTTCTTAAATAGCACATTAATCCTCCAGAGCCTCTTTTAGATTTGCGATTCGTACGTGTTCGTGATATGCATATAGATTCAAAGTCTCTTAGATCACTACCGTAGGGATGATTCGGCTTGAGCCATGTCTCACAGATGAAAATTATATCGTAACCATTGAAAAAGTGATTAGTTCAGTTAGTTTATCCATTGTTAGTCCGTTTATATTCCAGCTTGAGCCATGTCACAATGGTGGTCACCCTGGCCTTAGTCTTAGTCATGAAGCAAGCAACTTGAAGTGACTGAGGACATGCGGACCTTGGCTGGCACTACGTATATTTCGCCATTGATAATTAATTTACCATCAGAATAACGTATAAAGGCCCTCTTCCCCTCGCTTCTTGCTCTTTTCATGACACTAACCAGACTATTTCTCTCTTCCCTCTCTTCCTTTCACAGGTCCTCCATAACAAATAATCCTGATCCCCTCAGCAATTTGGCTTGTTTTAAGACAATCAACCTGTCTTCAGGGCATTTTAATTTCACGAGTATGAGCCGACTTTTATTGGCAGTTGGTTTGCCTAGTCTAGTGCTGTGCATAGGCACCACGTCTATCTGAAGCTTCTCCTTGAGGATTGTGGCCACTTTCTCCTTTGTCTCCGTTATTGATTCAGATTCACCTACCTCAACGTTCCCAAGGAGAACATTACATATCCTCTTTTCTTTTCTTTCTCTCTTTCCATGCTCATTTGCTGGACCTTTAGGGAATGGATCTGGGACTGTAGTTGGGACAGTTGTTGCTGGGGGCTGGCTTCAGGGAGCAGATTTTCACACCTCCCATCAGTACCAGAGGAGTGATGCATTACAGGGTTAGGACTGAAAGGCTTCTCTTTATCGTTCAGCTGCCTGCGTGCAGCGGACTCTGAAGAAGTGAGCTTCTCCTCAAACTTCCCAACTCTTTGAGTCAAGGACTCAATACATTCAGTCATTTGCTGTAGTTCATGTCGGAGACTTCTTTCTAGTGTAGAGAACTCCTGTTCTGATGTGAGTCCCCTTTTCTCTGAGAGCATGTGGTTACATCTGTACTTGAGTCATGAACAAAGACTGGGTTACTTTGTGGACTAGGTGTACATGTTTGGTTTACCACACTTGTAGACTGAGATGCAGGAGGTACAGGAGGAACAGGAGTAAATTCCTTTGACCCTGGTTGTGATATTGCTTGTTCAATAAGCCCTTGGCCAATGGGCTTTCCCCATTTCTTTCCTTGTGAACCTGAAAGGCTTTCGAACTCAAGCGGGGTCATCCATCGATCATTGAGCTTTATACATTTATCAATACTTTTACCATTTTTTTTTCCATTTACCCGGGTAAAATTCTGCTACTTTATTTCCACACTTTACTTTCAGGCAAGTACTTGCACTTATAATTATCCATACTTATTTGACTAATCGTCCGGAACTATATGTGCGTTAACTTTATGGACAGCCCGTCGTCTATGTCCCTAGCGACCCCTTTGCTCCGTCGGCAATGAACAACTGCCACGGAATATTCTTGACGCGAGCTCGTGAAGTCACTCCCTCCTCGCTCCTCACCTTCTTCCACTTCTCTGTCTTCGGAGTGCTCTTTGGCTTTGCTCGGCCTTCGGTTACTCCGGCTTTCGGCAACTCCGATCTTAATCGTCGTCGTACTTTGCAACAGAAAATAAGTATATAATACATATGAAAGTAGTAGGGTCATTGTCTAATACGTCACGAGGTAAGTTAATCCACACTTGGAGTGTTTTAGGCAAAAAGGTGTGCTGAAACTGAGGTGTGCGTGTGAAAGGGATTTTGTAGGAACTTGGTGCACTTGAACAATTTGAAGCAGATGGTTGTATATTATAAGGTTAGAATGTCAGGAGGAAAGACATAGGAACGGTGAGTATGAAATGTACATGCCTTTAGGTACTCTTGGTGGTTGGCCAATGTTGGGATTAAATCCTCAATAGAACATTTTTCCACATAGTGATAATGTTTCCTGTCTTTCCCAAGCGTAAATGTTGCCTTAATTATTTCTTTCCTCAACAGAGTCTACAGTGGGTGGCAATGAATGAGACGCTTATCTACGCTCTGTTGGCATATTTCAGTATTAAACAAAGAGACTTCAGCAGTGTTTATGTAAGCATTCACCAGGAATCTTGGAACCACAAACATACATGTACAGTCAAAACACCATGATTGCATAATGCCAGTGATGGTTTTTGTATTGCCTAGTTCCCAAATTCTCAGGTAATGGAGTCTGAGTGCTCTTATAGCTGCAGGTTGCCTGTAACAATGAGGTAGCAAGGCAAGGACGAAGCAAACAAGTCTACTACATCCAGGACAACTCAGAAGAGCTGCCCTAAGTTGGATTCCAACCCTCAACACTCTGCTGTCTAGGCAAGCACTCTACCAACTTAGCTACCCAGGCAACTCCGCTGGCAAACCTACAACACAACAAAAACACATATAAAAGCAGACCTCTAACTGCCATGCTATGGAACAGTAATTCTCAATCAAGTCAGAGTATTCACCAGTTAGCTCTACCTGTGTCTCCCTATATATACAAGTGGAAAAATCATTTCTTCAAAATGAAAGGGGGATATAGGGATGGCTTGAAGCACCAAAAAGGAAGAAACAAGGGGTCATTACACAGCAAAGATGCACAAAGCTACATGACACCATCCCTATATCTTTGTCTCATATTAAACTTTACTTCAAGGTAAGCTGTTGCAGAGTGGAAATGACGGAGATGTCAAGCGCGGCTGGACGACCTCTTTCCCAATTAGGGAGGAAAATGTTGAGTGAGTGGAATAGCCAACATACGTATTGTAATACATCCTGGAAATCCAAGTTCTTCTCTTTCCATGAAGCGAGCCTACATATTCCTTGTGTTGGAGGTAATATTGTTATACCCAAAATGTTGTACCTCTTTACACCAAACCCACATACAGGCACTAACTGTTCCTATGCAGGGATTTCTGAACGCTCTGGCATACGGCAGGACACGTGGAAATTTTAAGAGTGTCATGTCATTACGCCACCTCAGCTCCCAGGCAGAGTCACCACATGAAGTTCAGGATTCCAGTCAGGGAGAAAATGAGAAAGAAGTCACGGACGAAGGGATTTATGGAGAAGAGTGGCAGAAAGTAAAGCTATGCCGTGAGGGAAGTCTTTCAGTACTTATCTCTTGAAAAAAAAAGCCATGCAGGAACTTTTACGGCGGTGGGACATATTATTAGAGTGTATATAGACTGACTATGATCCTACTTTTCCTTATATACATGCCATTGGCAATGGCATAGAGATGATATCGGTTTATTAAATTGTAAATTTTGTCCCTTGTCTTGTGTCTCCCCTGTCTTCTCAATATTTGTGTGTCACATGTGTGCTTGCAGAACTATATATACAAGTGAAAAATCATTTCTTCAAAATGAAAGGGGATGTAGGGATGGCTTAAATTACGAAAAAGGATGCCAACAAGAAGATGCTTCAGCCGACAACAAAAATCATACATCCATCCCTACATCTTTCGTTCGTTTGCTCTGTATAATAAATGTGTGGTTACCTGTCATGAAGTATGTCACAACATAATTATCACAGTAGAGGTTGTGTGAGTAAAGAAAGATGTAGGGATGGATGTATGATTTTTGTTGTCGGCTGAAGCATCTTCTTGTTGGCATCCTTTTTCGTAATTTAAGCCATCCCTACATCCCCCTTCATTTTGAAGAAATGATTTTTCCACTTGTTCCACTTATTTTTTAGCGCATGCTCAGGCCCACCCTAGTCGCGCGCAGCACTGTAGAGCGAGGGGGAGGGGCTGCTGCATGCACGGCCGGATCCGGCCGCATTGACGCGCACGCACGCACGCACGCACTTAGAGCGCGCCAAATGCACTCACATGCGCAGTAGCACGACGCACGGACGTATTAAAATCGCTTGCTATGTGGGCCACACGCTCCAGTGAATTATGTCCGTGGATATCTCGGACTCCCTCCCTCTCGATGTCGTCTGCGCGATTGCGACGTTTATAGAGCTTTTGTCGTTGCAGTCAGAGTTTGAGGAGACTGGGATTTTTTTGCACTGAAGGTTCAAATCAGAGAAGGGGTGACACAGTTAAAAGTGAAACTGGTGAATAATGAAGGTGATACAATGGCGGTATATAGCTAGTGGTAGGGGAATTTGAGTTTGAGGGATCTTTTGCCCTGCAGCTTTTCCTCAGTTTTCCTCGTGCTGGTGATTGGACTGCTCACTGGACTGCTCACGGGACTGGCCAGGGATAGCAGCAGATGGAGTGAGGAGACCGTATATATTTACGGTACACCTTGTGAGCTGCAAAGGGGAAAGTGGGAAAATATAATCATTTTTGAGTGAGTTAAAGTATTCCCCCTCACTGGACGCGTGAAGTGCTTGTGTAAACAGTTTATAGTGTAACGGCATACTTTACTTGTGGCACATATACTTTCCTTATGGGGCATGCAGGTAACTATTAACTGGTAGGGATTCCTGCTTAGTAAAACATAATGGTTAGACTTGCAAGTCTGAGAGGATATCATAGCTACATCAGTTTCTGCTAATGAGTAAGTGGCACAGAGAAGGTTGGCATAATAATATGTGATTCAACCCACCCAGTTTTAACCAACTAAGTTATAGCTGCAGCAAGGGAAATGTCAGCTCAAGTCTTTAGCCTTGGATGCTGAATGTTGGAATGCTTACTTATGCTACTAAACTTATGAGGTCTATGAATGTTGACTGAGGCCATGAGAGTGCAATGTTGTGCCCAGACCCCAACCACAAGATTAGTCCCTTTGAAGTAATGTGGTGGGATTAGTTGGGCTTCTCCTTGAGTGAAGTCGCTATTATGCAAAAAGCCCAAGAAATCTCTTGAAAGGACTTTGCAGGTGGGGTCTGGGAACAACAAGACTATGTTGGTAGGAAATGTTTTGAGGTTTTTTTGGTGAGCCTAGTTTTTTGACTAGAATTTTGTTGACAGTCTGAATTGATGTGCCTTAACGTAAAAATCTCCTATAAAATGTTCTAGTTGCAGAGAGCTGATATCTAGTAACGAAAAGAAGTATAATATACATGCAAAGGTTTTTTTATGCTGATAATTTCATGTAGGAAATGGAGACATACGAGAAGGGTCGGCTTGTCCGCTAGAGGTGGTTGTGGAGGTGGCTGGAGATGAGGTGTTGAGGAACGACGATAGGGGTAGGAGCAGGGGCGGTTGATGGAGGAACTGCTGGGGGAAGTGAGCGCTCCTCTTCTAACGCGCGCTTTCCCTCTTCCTATCCCTCCCCCGCGTCTGATGGGTCCTCCTGTAGCTCCAGCTCCAGCTCCAGCAGAAACTCCAGGCGTGACTGCACCTCCTCCAGTTCCAGTTCCCCTTGCAGCTCCAACGCTTCTTGGAAGCTGAGTGGGTGGCGGAGGAGGAGTTACAGCTGGAGAACTTCCCTGTCGGGTGTGGCTCCGAAGCATCCTCCTCCGAGGTGTTTCTTCTTGCAGTGTGAGAGTGAGAGATTCATTTTCCTCTCTATCCAACTGGCTCATGGATTGCTCTAGCAGTTCTACTCCTGATGAAGACATGTCAGAGAATCCACTCATTCCTAGTTGCACTTCTGCACTTTTTTTTGGTATTGCTGCACTTTTGTAGTTCTACTCCGGCCTCTTCAATAAACCTTTTGTAAAATGTTCCCTTTGCGCCTGGGTTTATAAATCGTCGCGGTGCGCATGCGCGGGTGCGGATTAGGCGCATGCGCAAGTGCGAAAGAACGGTGATATTATGCGCATGCTGTCATCATGTGAATGTGGTAACAACTTTAGTCATATTATACAAAGAAGTATGATGCAAGGTTATCATCACAGGCTAGTTTTGAGCTGAGAAACAGACGCAAAGAAACACACAGAGAGTTGAGAGCATTGTGATAATGAGCCTGTCCATCTGTAGTGGAAGATACAGGAGGTGTGTGAGGAAATACTGGGTATGTCAAGAAAGAATAATATGCCCAATGATGACACGGTTCAATTAGTTTGTAAACCTGTAACAGGCTAAAACACAAGGAACCTAAAGCATCCAGATGCTGAGTTGCCCTAATATGGGCATGGAGTGGAGGAATATGGCCTGTTTTAGGAGGATGTTGCAAGGTAAACTGTACTAATGGTTTCGGAAAGTGCAGGGGAACAATTGAATTACCTATGGAAATACAGGCCGGCCCATGTCTAGGCAGGGTGGCGCCACAAGACACGAGGGCCTGTCAGTGCACATGAAAGTATATACTAGCTATACAGCAGTTAGGAAGAGCTGAGTGGGGAAGAAGCTGGGTGTATACAGAAGTGTATCTTGTATGATACAGTTCTGTGTATACCCAGACCCTCCTCAGGAGAGGGAAAACGTGTGACAATAAGGCAACAGAGGGAAAGACCGGGAGTCAGAGAGGGGAATGAAGAGAGAGAGGGAGAGTAAAATAGTGATGAAAAACTAAGGGAAGCTTTGGAGTTTTTCAATATGCAATAACTGATGACATACACACACACAATGGGTGAGTTTATTCACTATAATCTATTGGTGTAAAACACCACCTGTCCTATACATCCAACCCTGCAGCATCTTCTTGTTGGTATCACCTCCTTTCATTTGTGTAAATGATTTTTGGACTAGCATAAGCTCGGCCCCACCCTTTTCGCAGTGCAGCAGCAGTGAGGGGGGAGGGGCTGCTGCACGCATAATTATGGCGGCAAGCCTCGCTTGCGCAATTTTACGGACCCCAAGGTGACGTATATACTCGGCGCGTAGCGGGCACATGGTATGTTCAACTTTGTAAGCCAAAAATCGATATCATAATCACAATGCATGTAATTTTTGTTGTGCAGGAGAGTTCACTCTTTTGAAGAGATCTATCTAGCTCAAGTCAAAGGTGGAGGGCTAAGAGTAATAGCAGAACATGGCTGTATTAGAAGCTTGTAGGGTCCAGGTCTTGACAAGTGCAGGTCCAGTTCAGCACCTTAGGAAATAAAAATGGTAGAAAGTATGAGAAAATTACAGTAGGAGTAGACAAGGCCAGGAGTAGGCTTATAATAGCCTAACAATGCTATGTCAGCAGCAGGTATGAGGGTAAAAGTGCAGTATGAGTCAGCAACAGCATAAGGGCTAGCTCCTTTTTTCTGACCAATATTATCTGTTTTCCCCTGGGAAGCTCTATACCTCTACAGGTATCTCTAAATGCAGACATCTGCTGCGTTAAGGGGCACCCCTGCTGTACTTACATTATCTGGGGCAGCCTGGCAGGTGGGGCTCTGAAGTGGTTTCCCTATAGTAATCGCCAGGTTAGAATACTATGTGAAGGTACACTGTGGGAAGGGGTGCTGATACACTGCAGCAAAAAATGTTACAACACAACAATGTCAGTGTACAGAGTGCACAGACATTCACCTCTAACAGTATGCTACCTCAACTTGGTGATGCAGTTACAGTCCCTTAATACACCTTGCAGGTAGTTAAAGACTGTGCAGTTCACCTACACTGATGAGTCAGCTCCATGAAGTCTGAGACTTCAGGAGGGTGGTTAGAACATGAAGTGGGGAAGCCACCTCAATACAATTGCAGGGACCCACCCTCTTCTTCCCCAACATGTTCAGATAGCCATGTATATACAGGACATGTAAATAGGGTCCTTACACTTTCTATAGTGGTTATAGCATGAAATGGGGAAGCAACCTCAACTAAATTGAAGGGACCCACCCTCTCCTTCCCCAATATGCCCAGAGTAAAGGCACATGTGCCTCTCCTTCCCCAATATGCCCAGAGTAAAGGCACATGTGGTTACATTAATTCTTCCTTATAGAACCAACAACATTGCCTATGTGCATAGACCTCTGGTGAATGTCATCCTTCAAACGTCTGTCTGTCTGTCAACATCATGAGGGGAGTACCGCTGCCACGTCGCATACTGCTGGCTGTATGAGAAGACAGGGGTCTGGAGCAGGTGTGCCAAAGACAGCATCTCAATGTCAGTTCCCCAGGCCCCATCTTGGTCCATACCTGTGGAAGCTATATAACTTTGAATACTGTCATAGCCTATGAGATGGTGGCCTAGGAAATATTGGGCATTATTTGTCATGTGGTCAAGGATAGCATGTCGTACACCCATATGCTGATCCTCGGACCCTGTCAACATGTAAGAGAATGCTCTAAAGAGGCAGTTACCATCTCCCTGTACGCGTCTCACACTACGCATGTCTGGACGTGTGAGGGGGACAGTGGGTCCTCCTGGTCTTACTGGTGTTTGTGTACAATATTGGAGGCCCAGCTCTTGGCATGCACTTTGCTACATCTACAGAGTGGAAATTGAAAGGAGTAGCAGCAGGTGTTTCTGTACCTGTAATAACACAGTCCTCATTATCCCTTGGTGATGTGGGATTGACCTTGACCTTTTTTACAGTTTTGTCTACACCAGTGAGCTTCCTCTTTCTTCTAGAGACATGTGGTATATCATACAGAGGAAGATCAGGTCTATGGGTTTTTCTGAGGCGGTTTACTTCCCCCAGGGAACTCACACTAACACTGATGGACTGGGGATCAAAGGCTGTTAGGAACAGACCATCTAGTGACCTAACCCTGGATAGAGCCACATATGCCATTCCATCACTGAATACCTCCTCAGACAGGTCTACTATGGCACAGTCTAATGACAGACCCTGACACTTGTGGATGGTAATTGCATAGGCTAAAATGAGAGGGAATTGTCTACGATACACATAGAAATTCTTCATCACCATGAACCTGCTTCTGACCTTATCAATCTGCATGGAGCAGGTACATTATCAAACTGCACAGTTACATCGCTGGGCTGCTATTGACAGCACTGTACCAATAGCACCATTGACCAGCCCAGCCTTGGTGTCAATGTTGCGAGTAGCATGACTCGTGCACCGACTGCAAGAGACAGTTTGGCTTCCAACCCAGCTGTCATGTTGCAGTCCTCGTTCAGTTTATCCAAATGCTCAATGACCTTCCTAGTCATCTTCGTATTGCCTGCTGTTTCGTCAATCTCATCAGTACAATAAATGTCATGCACTTCGGATGCATTCTTGCGGAGCATTTGTGCATTTAGGTTACAGCACGCTTTCCTTTGAGCAAACAGGTGCCTTGCCAGACTGTTGTAGCTCAGAAAACTTGTCTGAGACAGACACCTGTATGACCCTCTGTTTCAACACACTCACAGTTTCCTTGGTTGGACAACCACGTCTCACACAGTCCCAACATGGAGGAAAACTGTGGATCATTTTCTGACGTTCATTGATAGTCAACTCATCATAGTAACACAATCTCTCCAAATATTGATGGCAGCTGCACACCCTAGTTGGGACAGGATAGATTTAGTGGCAACCTTCTCAAAAACAGGATTCCCATGGACAAGTGGGAGTTGGAGGAGGTCACCTACAAACAGCAGTTCCGAGACCCAAACCACTCACTGCTACCAAACAACTCCTCTAGTCTCATGTGTACAAAAGCCAGGTTGATACTGGAAACCATTGAAATCTCATCTATAATAAACAGCTTCACTTCAGAGAGAGAGTTGCTCTCATGACCTTCTGGGATGTTTTGGGCAGTGGCCAATAGTTAGTGGCTTTTGTAGCATGCTCAACAGGGAGTTGGAAGAGTCTGTGGATAGTGATACCTCCGACATTGAATGCAGCAAGCCCAGTTGGTGCTGCAATACCACAGAGGAGGCCTTCACTACTCCACAGACTGTTCACTAGGGCCTTGATGGCCTCAATGAGAAAGGATTTACCAGTACCACCCACACCACTAACAAACAATCTAAGAGGTGCAACATCACACGAACACTGCTTTGCCTCGTGACACTTTTGGTGCAGGAAGTGAGCCTTGACATTGTCAAAGACTCTCTTCTGGTCCTGATTCAGCATGGACACTCTCTCATCTAGGGTCAGCTGACCAGGGGTACTGACTTTCATGTCTAGAAACTTCGGTCGTGGCTGTTCTGCTTCACTAGCAGCTGAGGCTCGTGTCTTCTTAGCTTCTTTTTCTTCCATGTTGCCTGACGTGCTTCATAAGCTCTTTACATTTGATCGCTGCTGCCAACATGTCCTAAGCGTCGAGTGATAGCTTGAGCTCTGGCTAGCTGAGTAGTCTATGAAATGCCTGCTCCTGCTGTCTTCATTACCCGGACAGTAAACTAATCTCATCTCTAAATGGAGAGAACAGAAACAAGGGAGTAGAAATAATCTTTGTTTCTGGTTATTCATTTTCAGGGGTCAAAGATCTTTGGTTAGGGAGTTTAGGCTTGCTGAGTTTCCAGTACATCTCTCGGCCCATTTGGTCGACACCCCTGAAAATATAGTGGCCACAAAGTTCATACAAACAAACCACTTTTTCTCAAGGGCAACTGGGTCTCTGGAGGATAGAAGCAATCTAGGACAGGATCCTACAGAGTTCTGTATTGGGGTTCAGCCTGCCATTTATTGTAAGACTTGGGGGTTTCAGCTACGGGATATCTATTGTGAGCATGGAGACGTCACCCACTTGATGTGTCAGATTCTCGTGAGGTGGTCTCCCAGCAGTTATAGTCACTGGCCTCTATACAGACCACAACTCTCTCTGAACCGGTAAACTTCTACACAAACGCTGAAATAGGGATGTAAATGCTATTGTTCTCACTAAATTACTTGCCCAGTCTCCTGCATGTTATACGTCAGCTGGTGACATAGCCACTGACATAGTGAGCAAGAGATAGAGAGGGCTTGCGGATACAAATGGACTGTATTTTAGCCCACACCATAATCAATAAAGGGGTTTTGTAGTCATTCAAACTGGGTCAGACAGCAGTACGGACGAACTGGTAAATTCGGGTACGGGATTTCAGGCTTCCTGGAAGGGGGGGTTGAGATGGCAGTCTAACACAGGGCCGGGGAAAACCGAACCTACACCTGGTGACTGGATGA